GAAAATAAAAATAATTCCAAAAACCAATTTAAAGTTCAAACAAATTGGGTTGGTTTAAAATTCAGTCCCTTTAAATTAAATTAAGGTCAAGTTTACATAGAAAAAAAAAAAACTTAATTTTATGTCAATCATAGTCACAAGATTAAAGGGATTAATTTGGAAATATATATACAATTACTTATATTTAAATATTTCAAATTATAAATTGCATTTTTAATTGTATACTATATAATATATCAAATCACTCATTATGTTAATAATTTAAGTTAAAACTAACATAATTTTATTTTTTTATAAATTATATTTTTGAGAACCTGAGTTAAACTAGCTCGAGTGAAGGACCCAAAAGGGAGAAATGAACCCTCATTAAAGGGTATCCAAGAATATGTATTTATACGTGTGTGTGTATATATATATATATATATATATATTGATTAGGGTTTTGTGATATTAATTGAGGTATGGTGCAGGTGCAGGTGTATGTCCACCTCTTTCCTGCTGTCATATGTAAATGTTCTTTTCTTATTTGAACATTATGTAGAAAATTTCACAGAAGGAGAAAGATAAAAGCTTTGTTAAACCCTAACAGGGTTCCTTCGAGGATTTATATATGTTGATGATTCTTATCGGTTTCTTTTAGATTTTATGCGTATTTCTTTACATGTATGCATGGAGATTCTGCTTTTGTAGGTTTTCTTGGTGAAGGTTCGCAAGAGTTGAGGAAATCAAGTCTGAAACCCAAGACCTGCTGCATGGTTCTTCTCTGATAAGAGATCTTAGGCTCTTTTACAGTATTATATATTGTAGACGTAAATACTTCTCATGAAATCACTTCCTCGAATGAACATAATAATCTCTATTACATAGGAGCAAATGATAGTTAGGATGTTTAATAAATATACATCGATTAGACGTAATTAATTATTTTACTTGGTCAAGATCTATGAAAAGAGCTCTTAGAATCAAACTGGGTTACAGATAATTTTTTTAAATTCTTGAAAAACCCTAAAACTTAACTCCTCATTCGTCAATGTGAGCCCCTTCAACCTCAGTGCATTGTGTGGCTGCCATTGCACCTGAGTGAGACATGTGCCTCACCATCACTCGCATAGCTTTCGCCTCTTGTACCATCTAGTCTCGCGAATCTCATTGCTCCTCAAGAACTCAACTCTTCACTTACTTAACTCCCGTACAGCTCCTGACGTCTCTTGGTTTTCGTCATCTCTTCAGCCTCGCTCATCTGAAAGTCCTTGCTTTCGACCCTTTCTGTTCTCCATCTCTCCTCTCCACAATTCAATGCTGCTCGTCAAGCCAGCCCAGTGTCCAACGTCTGACTCGTGCTCTTGGCCCTCTCCAGCTCTCCTCTCCTCAATATTGACTGTTTCCTCGAACAAATTCAGCGCCGTATACAGCTGAGAGGGACACATCTGAATGTGGTTCAGATTGAGGGTGAAGAGAAAATGGTTGAGGAATGCGATTCAGGTTTCAGATTCGTCCGATTCGAACCGAAACTAAACCAAAAAAATCTGGTTCAAACTAAACTAGACCGAACCTTATTCAATTCAATCTTCAATCCCGAAGTTAAGAATTTCTTCATCCTATTTCGGATTGGTATAATCTGGTCTTGGATAGATCCACTCTCTTATTGCCAATGATGGGATAATCTATTCCCAATCCTACTTGATTTTTTTTTTTAAAATATAATTGGTGCAATTAAATACATGCATATATATATATATATATGTGTGTGTGTATATATATATCTATATAACAAAATAATTCAAATAACATAATCTTACAATACAATTATGATACTTCACTTTGCTTAACTACTAAAAATAGTAAGCAATGTTAAGAGTTTGTGATTTAAAAATATTATATTATTAATAGAGATATATTATATTTTTATTGAAAATAATAATTTAAATTTGAATTATAATTAAATATACTATACACAATATTTCATTAAAATATATGATAAGTTCCTCCAGAGTTTTCTTTTTTCAATTATATGTATATATGTTTGTAAAACTTTATAAATAAAATTGAATAAGTAGAATATTAAATGAGTTGTTTATTGAGGTCTTGATCCAACATGACTCATGATCCCATAATACCTCAAATTATAAATAAATACAAAGTAGAACTCTATAATCTCTATAGTCCCAAATGTAAGCCCATATTTTGACCCACAAAATTTTAGCTCAATATAATTATTACGTTACTTATCCGGTTCCCAAGATAATTTAAGATTAAGAATGACATTTTGTATTCAAACTCGCTTAATATAATGTATACAAACTCAATCCATTACGACTTTTTCTTTTTTTATATATATTAAAGTGCAGGTTCATATTAGAATTGTTCTCCACTTTGTTCACATCTTCTAAAGATGCTTACGTGAAGAAATTTGATTGGATACTACAACGAATTATTATAGAAACGAAGATAAAAGATTGAGACCATAAAAGGCAAAGGGTTGGTGGAAGGGGAAATGGAAAAAGAATGGTGGGTTGGGTAAGATTCAAATTTAACCTTTTTAAACTATCTGTACTTGATGGATGTAGACTTGAATATCTTTTTAAGATAACGATGCCACTCATGGAGTATCTAAAATTTTTCGTTTCAATCTTGACCCTTGAAACCTATTACTATCTCTAGTCCAGTGGCTCGGAACGCAAATGATAATCAACATACTTTTGGGCTATCAATCTCTTAGTGGGCAAAATGTTGACTACCAAGTATGTGGTCTAATGGTTTATGTCGTGACATATTATAGTTTTCATCCACTTTACTTGTTATCAATAACATCTTCTGGAGATATTTACGTGGAGAAATTTGATTGAATATTGCGATAAAAGGCAAGGGGTGGGAGGGGTAATGGAAAAAGAATGGTGAGTTGGATCGGATTCTAATAATCTTTTTAAACAATCATAACCTGACCTTATTACATATATATTTTTAAATATTCTATTATATCAGTACATTTACATTTATATTCACATTATAATATATTATGTAAACAAATATAATTGATACATATTATTACACATATTAGTATTTTTAACTTTTTGTTCATATAAATCTAATTATATCAATAAATGATCAAATTAGATTTTGAATAATTTACAAATTTAACATAATTTAGAGAAAATCTATCTTGAATTATATCTATGTTGATATTAATGAAATCATATTATGTATAATTTATAAAATTATACACAATTTAAAAAATCGATCTCAAATATGATGCAATATCTATCTATATTTTTAATATTAACATTATCTCACTCTTGTGCTGTGCACCCTACACTTGAATACTTGCACATACACGTGGACATCTTTTTAAGGTAATGATGGCGTTGTGGAATATCTAGAATTTTCTGTTTCAAAATTGGTCCATTGAAACCTACTATTATCCCTCATCCAATGGTTAGGAACACAATCACCATACATTTAAGATAAGTTATCTCCTAGTGAGAAAAATGTTACTTGCCAAGTATGTCATTTAATCCTTTGTATCATGATATATTACAGTCATCCTCCGCTTTATTATATTGTTAATTATATATTACAGAGATACTTACGTAGAGAAATTTGATTGGATACTGTAACGAATTACTCTAAAATAGAGATAGAATATTGAGACAATAAAAGATAAGTGGTTGGTGGAAGGGGTAATGGAAAAAGAATGGTGGGTTGGATCAGATCTAATTTAACATTTTTTAACCATCCTAACACGACCTTATCACATATATATTTTTAAATATTCTATTATTATAAAAACACTAACATTTATATTAATAATATAATATATTATATTAATAATATAATATATTATATTAATAAATATAATGAATAGATATTATTACATATATTAATAAATGTATCTTCATTTTTTGTTCATATAAATCTAATTATATTAATAAATGATCAAATCGAATTTTGAATAATAAACAAATTTAACATAATATAGAGAAAATATATCTTGAATTATATTTATTTAATATTAATGAATTAGATTCTGAATAATCTACAAATTTGACACAATTTGAAAAAATTCATCCCGAATATGACACGATATCTATCTATATTTTTAATATTGATATTATTTTAATATTGTACTGTGGACCTCATACTTGAATATTTGGATATATACATGGATATTTTTTCAAGGTAATGATGACACTGTGGAGCATTTAGGATTTTTTATTTCAATCTTGGTCCTTGAAACCTATTACTATCCATCATCCAACGGTTGGGAGCACAGATGACAGTCAATTTACTTTTGAGGCTATTCAATCTTTTAGTGAAAAAAATGTCACTTGCCAAATATGTGGTTTGATTCTCTATATCATGACATATTACAGTTGTCCTCCACTTTACTACGTCGTTAATAATATTTTATCAAGATACTTACGTAGAGAAATTTGATTGGATACTGTGACGAATTATTCTAAAACAGAGATAAAAGATTAAAACCATAAAAGGCAAGGGGTTGGTGCGAGGGATAATGGAAAAAGAATGGTGGGTTGGATTAGATTCTAATTTAACCTTTTAAAACTATTTTGACCCAACTTTATTACATGTATATTTTTAAATATTTTAATATTATAAGTCCATTTACCTTTATATTAATAGTGTAATATATTATATTAACAAACATAATCAATGCATATTATTACATATAATAGTAAA